TGATTGAATCAGTTTAAATTGGGAGACAATTTTTATTTTCATGGACTTATGGTGAGTATTTTGTACATGAAACACCAATTAAAAATTATATAATGAAAGTCCAAGGGAAAATGAGACTTGACTAAGGGACACTCTTGATGTACCAATTATGTCCGCATCTTGGGTTCTCACTATATATAGGATTGAGTCACACCTGGATGATAAGCCGCCTTTGGCTAAAAGGAGAAACTCGCCACTTGGACTTGGGGACACTTGAAACTAGAAAAGAAAATCTGACTGAACATCTGGAGGAGAATGTCTCGAGGTACAGACACTTATCCAACGCATCTAGAAAAATTTAGAATTTCATATTTCTAAATTTTGATGTCTCTTGAACAAATTGAAATATTTTGATTTCTCAAAAATTGAAAGGAAATTTCATCATACAATTACAGTGAGACCCCCCCACATGTGGACAACTTTGACATGGGGACAATTCGACATAGGGACATTTATTTTTCAGTAAGAAAAATTATAAAAAAAGGCCCAACCCAACCTATGGGCACTGACTCAACTTGAGGACATTGCATGATACAATTGCCAATAAATTTCAAGAAAATTCACTTTTCTTAGGCTTATTTGCAAGAAACAGATATTTCCAACCCTAAGATCTATGCAAGAAAAATTCTTTGGTATTTTCCCAATCACTTTCCCATACATTCAGCTATTTAAAAAAATACCTAAAGCACAGATGGACTGCCTTCTCTTTTTGTGATTCGGATGTTATTTTTACAGATGCCAACTATTCAATGAACTGTACAGGGGTACACCGGATGGTCAAAAGATACCTGGTGACACTGCAATACAACTGATGTGGAATTGTACATGATATATGAACCTGAGTTGCTTTGCAAAAGTACAAAACCAAGATGCACAACAAGTGGTATTCTTAACCTACTTTAGGACACAATAAAGTATAAAATGAAAAATATTTACTGAACTACGTTTTTGCAATGAATTCCTTTTGTTTTCTACAGTGCAGAACAGGCAGTAATAATACAATGACAAATTGAAAGAGAAGTTCCATCTTTTCAAATCAATTAAGAAAACAACAAGAGCAATGAAACCCAAAAAGTGAGAAATCTTTGGGCATGACTCATAATCGATGTAAAAAGGAAAAATTGACATGTCTGGGCATTGGTTCCCATATGGCACACTCAAAACAGCATTTTTCTACAGAGGCTATGGTGGTCTTTTGACTTCTACAGGTGCAGGAAATGTAAGCAAGTTTAAAGTGAATATCAAGCACTTGGAATTTAAGGTTAAAAATAATTTCAAAAATTTTTGAAAGCTCCGTTCCCATGTAACATTAACCATGCGCGCTTTCCAAGGTTGAATTCCATGGGGAATAATTACCAAACAATCCGTGCTGGTGTCCCAAAATATTCATGGGATTTTCAAACATTTTCCCGTCCAAAAAAAAAAAAAACTGCTAAATATTTCAGCAATGCCATTTTAAGAACATTCCTTTTGTAAAAAATGCAAATTTCAGGAAAGCATTATCTGTCTCCTTAATTGGAATCCACAAACAAATTATGATCATCGAATGTAAAAATAAAATGGCATTTCGACAGAACAACAAAACTCTTGAGAGCCATAATGCATTCGAATATCATTATAACGAATACAACTTTACAACGAAGTCGAGTTTTCGGTACCGTCCTACGTTAAGATTTATTTTACATCATATTTTTCTTTACAAAGAAGCTATTTTCCTTTGACACTGATGGCTTCGTTGTAAAGAGATTTCACTGCACCTAAACGAGGCAGTTGTCGATAATATTTTCTTCTGCTCTTTTTGCAAGACAAAGATACGAAAAAATACAAAACACGCAGATTTTTCTAATGAACACTGTACAGTCTATTATAACGAGAAACAAGTCATAAAATTTTTCAATTGAAAATCGATCGCTCGCATAAGGATTATAACAAGGGACAATATTCGTTAATGTGGCCAAAGTTTAATTGAGATATCAGTTATTAACCCACGCTTAAATTTTAGTTTCAAACAAAATCCATGCTTCCATCAAGTTTCGAAAAATGCAAAAACATTCCACGACAGTTTTTGAAACCAACTTCAAAATAATCGATAAAAAATAAAGTAATCAATGGACCAATCAAAAGTATTCCTGCTCCCTCAGCGACAAAAAGAACGCATTCAGCATAATCTGAAAAATTCTTCACTCGTTCAAAGTAAAAAATAAAACAGAACAGTAACATTTGATGCAACGTTTCGACGTTAAACCTTGAATATCACATTCAAACCGTATCGCAAAAATGAATCTCCCACAAAATATGCAATTTCCCGCAATGATACTCAATATTTCAATCCCATGAGTTCCAAAGCATAGTGAATTACTGCAAATTTCACAAAATTCGAAGATTATTGTTTAAAAAAAAATAAAAAGTTGGAGAGCATTCAAAAACCACAAAAAAATGTCAAACGGGACTGAATTTTTTCTTGTGCCATTAAAGATGGGTACTTTTTCTGTACAACGTCTTTTTCAGCTCAATCACATGCCATTTAAATTTTCACCTCGTATCGTCAAAATTTGAAAATTACTGTACCTATACACGAGTGATTTTTCTGTAGAATAAACCTCCGCAACCAAAAAATATTTACTCCATTCATTTTCTGGGACAGTCAAAATTCAATTATTTTGTTTGTTTGTCAAAATACAGCTTAAAGAATAAAAAAAAGGGCGAACCTGGGAGGCTGGCTGGAAGACCGACTAATGGCCGCCGCAGCGTGGACCCTGGACCTGGACGGGTTGAGACTCGGCGGCGAAGACGACGACGACGACGTGGACGTCGACATGGCGGACGCCGACGTCGTCGCGGCAACGCCGCCGTTCTCCAGCCGATGCACGCTCTTGGACCGCCGCATTTGAGTCGTCACGTTCGGCGTCGGCCGATGCAGGCCAGTGATGGGTCCCGTGGGCGGCTTACCACCACCGCCACCGCCGCCTGCGTTATTCCGACTCTGGTGAGGTCGGCGTGGCTGCGACCGCCCTCGAGCCACCGCCGCCGCCGCAGCCGTCGGATTGTTGTGGGGGGCGTCTACCGCGTCCCAGCCCGTCGGGACCGGCAGTGGCCCACCTACCACATGGTAAGGAAAAAAAAATCGTTGTCAAATAAAGAAAAAAAAACAAATGTTTGATGAATGTTTTACTTGGGGGAATTAATTTTCAAATTAAAAAAATAACACTGCTGCAATTCATGTTTTAATCTCATGATATAAAAGTCTCGCATTTTAAAAATTGTCATCCACGGCTTAATTGAAGTGTCCTGCAATATGTTTATAATTTACTGTACTGTATTGTAATTCAAGAAAAAGGGGGCGGGGGGAGACACAGAAGAAGAAAAGGCAGACCTCCGTTTTTGCGGCGCTCCTCAAACATTTGGCGCACCCGGCCGCCGACTCGGAGGGACTCCTCCAGCGAGGAGATCTCGGAGATGGACGACGCCATGGAGTTGGTGGACGTGGCCGAGGCGGCCGGCGACGTCCGGCTGTTGGTGGAGGCGCCGTTCTCCAGCATCTCGGCCAGCCGCTGCTCCCGCTCTTCGCTCTGTCGCGCCTTGAATCGCGCCTAATTCAGAAAATAAAATTATATATTTATAAAAAGAAGAACAACAAACACACTTGTATCAGGATTCACATCGGATCTAGTTTTCAAAACCAAAAAAAAAGGAAATGCGAGGACAGAGAACTATGGAACATGCTGATTGAAATTAAAAAATAACTATTACAATTTCAGCTGAAAATTGTAAAAATAAGATACTCTGCAAGCTGACAATTTTTTTTCCAGGCAAACTCTCTCTCTCTCTCTCGAACAAAATTCAAGAGATAAGAAAAAATCGTTTTACACAGAATTCCGTTATAGACAACCCATTCAATATGTGGAGAGAACCCTATATGGGCCCACAGAAAAAAAAAAATCGTTATGCAAGGAAAATTGTTGTGGAAAGAGAGAGAGAGAGAGAGAGAGTCCACTTGTAGTGCAAAAATAATTGTCAACCCTCAATTTACTGCCAAAAATTTCCTTGGAACAAATCTGCATCCATTGTGTTTTTGAGGGAAACCTGGGTTTAGTGCCAACTCACTTAGTGCCGAATAAATAAATTTTTCTGGATGAAAAATGTGTCAAAATGGATATTATGGACTGTTATTAAATGAAAGAACTTGAAGCCTGTTTTCAAGGGATACCATGGGATTATTACTGACAATCACATGCCCATGCTCTCTAAGGCCCAGAAAATTTCACAAATTGTACCTTCCAGTACTTCTTAAACCCTCCACTCATGCACAAAAATGCTGGTTTCCTCAACTCATGAACTCAAACTCAAAATTTTTCTTGGCCCCTCTGAGTGTAACTTGTAACTAGAATACTGCATACGTCAGTGTGGCCCAGCCTTTTTGGGTCTATGGACTGGCAAAGTGACATAAAATGTTTGTAGATGAGCAGACATTTTTAAAATATCTTCCGAAATATTCCAAGCAAAAAGTAAGCTAAGAACCAATAATGAAGCACTCTTAGTGAAATGTTTTGAAAAAATAAGAAAGCAGGGCTTCAACAAAGTTTCTCACAATGAATGGTGTCATTATGGAGAAAAGCAAACTTTATTTTTTCATCACATAATTTCAACTTCCATTGTCTTTGCAAAATTTCAGATAAACACAAGACTTAATTACAAACTTTGATGCATTTATTATGCTGAAGAAAATTCCAAGCAGGACTGGCCAAAAAAAAAAATCACCTGCGTCAGACAACTGGTATTTACAAGAGAAATACAGGTTGGTTTGTGACTTTTTCAAATAGCTCCACAGCAGAAGTTTCAACAGTGAATTTTTTTTTTACTCGCATAGCCGCATCATTTGGCAACACTTCAGTGCTGTTCAATCCAAACAGTGCCAAAAATCAAGTTCTGCTAGTTGATTTGGCACTCTGTGACTTTTGGATGATCCCTGTTGGGGAACCATAGCATCAGGTCCCGGGACCTGAATTCTGGTCCCATTTTCTTTTGGGCATCTGTTACTGTCCTGGATGCATGACTTCTTTTAGGCACATTGTCAGAGACCCTAAGATCTTTGACAAAGAATTTCAAGGAAATGAAAGAAATGCACAATAGGCCGTTTGCAGCCAAGACCAAGTCTCCAGGAACTGCTGTAATTTTGCAAAAGTTGTAATGATATGCTTTCACTTTCAGAGATCAGAATTTCACATACACAAGGCCCTAAGATCTTTGACACACATTTCACCTGGCAATAACTGGCAGTGTTGAAAGTTGACCAAGGCATACAATAAAAAGGTATAAAACCCCACTGTTTTTCCTTTCCAACAATCAGTCCTTATAGTTCATCTCTTACAGTAAACTTCCCTCAAACCATTGGACCCCAATTCTTTTGATTGAAGTATTGCATTGCATTACTGCTCCATAAATTTGTGTGCACAAATTTACTGCATTTATTGAATGTGTGTTGCATTATTGTATTTGTTGTGATGCCTTATTTTTGTATTGTGTTTCATTGTGATTTCTTGTGGAATGTGATTAACCCAGACAAAACTAGGGATATGCAATTAAGGTACCCCCTTTATTACATTTTCCTAGCTGCAAACTGGCTGATTGCCCTGCCTAATTATTTCTTACCATTTCTTCCACTGTGCTATGGTTCAATTCTTCATGTTGGGCTGATGAATTCCTCAACAATCCCAACAGTGAAAAAAAAACCTGAAAGGGCTTGATTTTGAGGACAGGGTTCAGCCTCACTTCCGTTATTGAAAATTATCTTGATTAACTAACGGAACGTGATTTTTGGCACTGTTCTGACCATTGGATTTATTGCATGCAAAAAAAAAATGCATTGACATCAGCGGAGAGGATGTTGAACAGCCCAGAAGTGTTGCCAAATGATGGTGCTATATACGAGTGAAAAAAATAATATTTTTTCCAAAAGTTGCAACTCCATTGGGTCTATTTCAAAAAAGAAAGTATCAAACCTTTTGAACCAACCCTCGTATGTAATTCATGTGCACGAGGCTCACAGCAAGAATGGCCGCCTTGTCGACATCGACATCGACATCGACCAAGGACGACGGCGGAATCGATAGAACCTGAATGACTCATAAATTATAGCGTCATTTCTTCTTCTTCTGTTTCACGCCCTCTCGATTTAATTGATTTCCTTCTTTTTAAATACCGTCGTCATACTCCACATCCCCAAAGGAAATGAAGACTTCTTGGAAAATGTCACAGCCAAATGAAAATAAAAAATGGATTAGAACGTTTGTCACACAGTTATGCTTCTGTGTAAATAAACAATATTACAAATCTGCGCAGGCAATAACTGGGAAAAGAAAAAATTAAAGATTTTGAAATGATCACCAGAAGAAGGGAATTTTCTTCGCGACAATCCTTTTTTTTTCAAATAATGAAATTCCAGGCAATTGGACTTCAAGACATTTCTGGAAATTAAAGTCTATAGTAATTAAAGATTTTGTGCTAAAAGTGGGAGTGACTGTAAAACATACAAGTCACGGTTTCTCTTCTTATGCCCAGTATTCCATACAAATGGAAATGAGCTTACGAAGGATTTACAAGTATTGGAATTCAATGGAGAGACCCTTTCTGAAATCATGGAGGATCAAGATAAACTGTTGGCCTTGTATGATTCCTCATAAAAGATTCTCTCTGAATTGTTCATTCAACTAAACCTTGTCTGGGAACAAGCTGAAGACCTTGTGCTTTAAATTGGGTTCATTAACTGCTGCAATTGCTTTAATTCTGTCTTATGCTGCAATTCTTGTCACTGATATTTTGTTTTCAATGTCAGGGAAAGAAGAGGGTGTATGCATACACATCAGTTGTGCAGTTGTACATTGTGGAATGTATTTTCTTTTATTTCAGTATCCATGTACAGCTTTTTCTCTAATCACCAATTTTGAAGTGATTAAATGCCTTTGAATGGATTTGGGTTGGGTGAGGGTTTGGATGTGGGAATGTTGATTGAACCTTGTGAATGCTGAAAAGCTGAAAAAAAGCTTTCCATTCATTCATTCATTCATGATTTCAACTGAACAACTTTGGAAAGAAGGGAAGCAAAAATATGAGAAAATGGAAAATCCCATCACAATACAAATTACTGTTATAACAAGAATCCTTTATCCAACGTACCAGCAAAAAGCATCCACATCAAACCAAAGCACCAGTTTTTTTTTCAGACTAGAAGAAATTGTTTACAGAGTAAATTAGGCAATTTCAAATTTAAAAAAAAGATTATTGTTGAACTCATGATATTTATTCTTGCTGTCAAAACAAACTTGATTCAAGCTTATCCCACAAAATCTGAAATGGCACACAAATTCTGACTGCATTCACACGGGATTCTTCGAAATAAATTATCCAAAAGGAAATGTTTATGAATTTTGCTATCCAAAATTTTGGATTCTGCCAAGTCTGTAAAGGTTCTAGAATGCAATTCAACTCCTATTTCAAACAGATCTAAATTTTCAAAAAAGAAAATTTCCTTAACCATGACAAAAAAAGGACTCTTAAGTTGAATCTTGAGTAAACATCACATCCTAGCTTATTCGCAAAAATAATTGCCCCTTCCGGAATTCAGGGAATTAACATGAATAAATCTGTATATAGAAATTTAAAGAGGCATCGCGGATTTCGTTAGTGGAATTCATGGATTTCTCACCAAATAAATTGTTTTCGGATCCTTTATATAAATCTTGAAATTCTTTCAAAATGCTAAAAGTATCAAATAGAAACGAAAAAAAGAAATCAGCGAAGTTTAAGAATCAATATTCGCCGAATGAAAAAATTACATCGACACCTTCACAGTAAACTACACATGTGTGTAAACTTTGAAAATGGCCCTTTCGCTAAAATTCCCGCCATTTGTTCAATGGCGTGTCACCTTGAAACTAGATCAATAATTCTGACGAAAATAATACCACAGACTGCTAAACCAGCCAAAGCCACACAATCTAACCTTATCAAGCAAAAACGAATACAATTTTATCAAACTAAGATTAATCTAACTCACTCTCCAATTACTAGATCACGCTAATTGGCGCATAATTTCACATACAGTAATTAAATCTCACGAAATTCTAAGCGATATTCAATTTCGAAAGCCTTTAAAAAAAATGTAAACGCAGAAATTACGTTGTGAGGACTGAGGAGTACCGTCGAATCTCATAACAACGAATCTCGTTTCAACGAATAATCGCTAACAACGACGTGATTAAAAAAAAATTTTCTGGCCCTTAACCGCAATTTTACGTGCTTCGTTGTAACGAGATTTTAATGTTTTCCGAGATTCAAAAATTTCCCTTCGGAAATCACACACGACTAAGAAAGAAAGACATTCTTTCAAAATTTATTTGAAAATAATCTCGTTATAACGAAGAATCGCGTAAAACGAAGTCGTTTTTTAAGACCCCGATCCATAACCGCAATTTAAAAAATTACTTTTATTTATACTATAGCGGGGTTTTCTTCACAACGAACCTATTTTACTGTTTACGTTGTAAAAATGCTTTTCATTATCTTTCTTTTTTAAATCCAAAATGAAGATTTACCTTCGAAAATTAAACAGAAATACGACTTGGAACAACAACAAAAAATGACTTCCAAAATTTAACCAATCTCATAAGAAATAATCTCGTTTTAACGAAGAATCTCGTTCAACGAAGTCATTTTCAGGACACTGACCCTTAACCGCAATTGTAAAAAAATTAATTTATCACAGCGGAGTTTTCTTTACAACGAATATATTTTACTGTATTCATTGTAAAAAAAAAAAAAGGATTCCACTGTTCTTCTGTATTCAAAAATGAAGATTTCCCTTCGAAAACCCCACAGAAATACGATTTTGAACAACAACAAAAATACGTTTCAAAATTTAATGAAACTTTTCATTCCATCCCGAATCTGATTAAAATCCCACAGCCGTGAATTAAAATTTTTCCACGAATGTCCTTTAGATTGAAAACTCTTCCAAGGCAAAACAAACAGCATAATCACCATAGCATGACAAAAAAGTTTCACATTATCATCGATCTTTCCATACAGTAAAGTACAGTAGAGTGCTTTGAAAAGAACCCTGCAAAAAGTTTCCCTGCGTGTATTATTAGCATGTACATGACCCAAGAACCTCAAGGACAGCATTAATGATTCTCGACAGTTGGGTCTAGGAAATTTCGAGGCCATCGACTGGCAAACGCGACCCGGTTTCCTTCCTCCATCGCATTTCAAATTACCGAACTATGAAAATCATTCGAAAAAAAAACCACTGCATCTTAAAGCAAGACTTGAATCGACAAAAAAATTCTAGGGGGTGCAAAAAAAAATATATATACATATATATATATACACCAGCTGATTTTCAAGATTCGGTTCTTAAAAAATGTGCTTCGACAAAGTTTCTTCCATATTCTTTCTAGCTTTCCACGGTTTGATCACTAGATTTTTTGTCAATTTATTGAACACCTCCATCTTACCTTAACGTAACAATGAATAAATAAATCAACGTAACAGTAAAAAAAAGAACTCTTTGCAAAAAGAGCAGATACGAAAGTCGCGTCATGAATTTTGCAAAATTTTGAAATTTCACCAAAACTGTGATTTCTACCTGTTCCCGAAGGCGAAGAACGATCTGAAATGTATTAATTTTGAGAACAGCGAAAACCTCATTTCTGCCATTAAAGAGCAGCTTAATCAACTAACGCAATTCAATTTTTGGCACTGTTTTGATCATTGGATTCATCGCATGGAAAAAATGCTTTAAACAGCACTAAAGTGTTGCCAAATGATGGCTTGACGCGAGGAAGAAAAAAAAAGAAACTCTGTTAAATCCAATTCAAAAATTTGCAACACTCATGAACCAACCCTCGAATTTCCGTATACTGTATTTGAAAATTTCGCGCATTAAAAGCGAATACAATGTGTAAAAAAAATGAGAACACATCTCATGCATGCCCCAGATGAAGTACGCATCGATCCAACAAGACAAGGACAGGGAGTACCAATTTAGTACTGTATTTCCTCAAGTACCACGCCCCCCTTAGCGTATGAGTCACCCGCTAAAACATTGGGCAAAAACGCATCCCCATATTTTTGTTTTGCAGGAAAATCCTTTGCAATTTTTGAGAATTACAAGGGCCGAAAATTATCCCTCGAAATTCAAATATAAGAAGGATTCAATTGTATTTAATTTAAATCGCTTGAAAAATTTGTAGGACGAGGTCGCACTAAAATATCACCCAGCTTTCTGACCCAAAAGTTGAAAAAATTCTCGCGTAAATACAATAAAAACATAAATTCCGAGCAAGAATTCTCAAATACATCAGAAAGACAGGCAAAAAAGTTACAAATTTTGATTTCATTTTGCACTTGAATCCTAAGTATTACAGTACAGTACATAATTTCCCACGATGTGCAAATTTTGAAACAACTACAGCTGTTGAAAAGAATTTCATGAATAAAGAAGATAAAAAAAAAACACAAAGTGGAAAACTATTCCCACCACGTGAGAGAATATCCTACTGACAAAACTACCACTCACTACATGACACAAACAATTTAAAAGATTGTTTTTTGCTTTGTTTTAGCAATAACTCACCTGTTTGTTGTTTATGGAGGGTTCGGAGCCCAGGTCAAAGTAAAAAGGCCCCTTGATCATGCTACACTTGTGACCTCTGCACCACCAACAACATTTCATCATAGAAAATATTAGAATCATAAAAAGTAATGATGAGAGACACGCGGCAGATTTTGTTTTTACATCTGCAGTAAAAGCACTTCCGTTTTGCACACTCAGAAAAAGGGCATCAACAAGGTCAGATTGATTATTTGTCATTTTTCACTGATGCTACAGATTTTCAGGTGAGGTATTTCACTAAGCAGGATTATTGGCATGAAAATTGAGTCCTGAATTCATTTCTGCAAATCCTGAAACCGTTTTCAGTACACAAGTTCTGTACTTCACATTTCAGTAGAAATTACTGAAAAAGATGGAGATGATGCCTCAAAAATGCATCCAACCAACTTATTCTTGACAACTGCAAATGATGAAAGGTGGTTTAAATTTTACAAAGTAAATTGAAATAGAAGATATGAAAGAGAAAATTTTTTTCATCAAAAATTCATGAGTTTACAACCTAAAATTTATGGTTTGTAACCCAGAAACCGAATTGCGATTATTTTCTTTTCTCCATATA